ATATAAAAGCTAAACTACGAACAATCTACCGTCATTCAACGGCATACAGCTTTCATTTGGTCAGCAGTTATATTAACATAAGCTCCGCCTCCATATAGCGCAGAAAGAAACAAATTCTACACGAGCTTCACGATGCAAAGATATCTCCTGTAAAGTCATAACCCTAACTATTGACGCACCAAAGGTATAGTTAAAGTGACTGGCAAAAGCGGTACTTAAGCCAACACATCTTAAAATATGCACATATTCGTCATATTCCCCAGGCGCTTTTATTGTTTCATCCCCCAGACGCCCGCCACGTAAAAGAAAAACAATTTAAGCTCAAAGAGACACACATGAGAGACTTCGTAACGTATTCACAACACTTTGGAAGGGATTAAACGACATGCTTATTACTAACACAGACGTTTGTCGATGTGCTCTTGATCTGGAAGTAGGAACATACTATAGGAAACTAACTGTTTCCTCTCAGATTGTCCTGCATGTGTTATGCTGAAGGTAGGTCCAATGAATCGATATTAGATTCTACTTATTCTGTATTTGCAAAACCTAGGTAAACTTTCGGCTCACACATACGATGAGAACAGTCTGTCATCTTTCTGGATGGGAGATTACGTCATTGCAGTTTTAAAAATGTATCCATTCGAAATTCCTGGTTCAGCTGCATCGAAATAGAGTTCCTGTTTTACACATCAGTAAAGTAATATGGAAAATATTACTGCTGTGATTATTATGCAAAATTCGCGCCTGATGTAATATTGACAATATCTATTCAGGGGTCGACAATTGTACATTATGCAAACAGTTCAGTTGCTATTAGGTGGTGGTTTTCATAACAAGTGTGAAATTTCAATTCCAAACGTCGTTCTCACGCGATTGTTGAGCGCTTTACTAACTCATTAGAGCACTTAAACCTAAAGCACGTGATTAGACGAATTAAAACCAGACACTATGAATATTTATGAGATACCACATGGACGGAACAACGGTGTGACGGCTCTGTATTGCAAATACAAGTTATTGAACGGCTATAGCAAACTGATACATTACTAAAAATAACTTTCTTGTTAATAATTCGTACCATGAGGTGGAAAACTACTGCATAATAATTCGATCAAGGATCTGTTTTAAAACCCTTGATCGGATTCTCAATGTTCAAGATCTTCAAGTAAAGGTCAGTGTTATCATACACTTGTTTCAAGTTGGATCAAGGGCAAAAGCATTTTGCAGAGCCAGCAATTCTTATAAATAGTATCGGCGAAGATATTATGATCACTACCGTTCTCTGCTTAATTATTTCTATATTCTTTAATTTTATTTTTTTCCCGCTTCATTTGGTTTTATCGCAATATTTGTTTATCGATACATTTACTGATATACATCTCATTTTTAGAACATTGAGGTTATTATTACTTCATACTAAAATTGGACGCAAAAATCCATCTACTTCCTGTTCAAATTTTGCATCCATAGTATCCCATTGATATAGGTCAGACAATCAATCGAAAAAAAAAAGAGAGAAAAAAAAGGAATTAATTTATGTACATTATGACTTGACTGAAATGGCACGAGACGGACACACATTTGTTGCGTTGAAGTTTGGCTGATTTTGGATAGTAGCAAATCGCGATATTTTTCGATGCAACATTTGAATTTGTCCTCGAGATTAAAAGTTCAAGTTCTTTTGGATTTTTATAAAACGCCATTTAATATTTCTCCTCCATTAATTTCTGGATTTCCGTTGACGACATAACCATAGTAGCGTATGTTTTATAGAGGAATGCAGACGATCCATTGACTAAACATAGTAAACATCTTGGAAGTGTAAATGTAAGTGTATATTTTACATTAGATCTGTAATACTTTGCATCTTTGCGTATTTGCACTATATGGAGCATTCTAGGCACGGACAGGTACTGGATATATAACATTGTATATTATTTTTATATTCATTCAGCTATTCGATCATACTCTGACAGCACAATGGCTGTTATGTCAACCGAGCAAATTTATGATGTTTTTAATTCTTTAATTTTCTTTTCTTTCATTTCTCAATATCTTTGATTAAGTTGTTCATATGATTTTTGTCGTCCATTCGTTTAATTCGATGCGACTTGATTTAAGGAAAGATAGTTACACCCTTTGTAGCCAGTCATGCACTACGATTAGTTCTAGAAACAAAATTGAAAACACCAAAGCTGAACAAATACTTCAGTTTGCGCGCTGTTCAAGAGGTTCCACGGATTGAAGTTCCCAGTAAGCAAAAGGCTTTATAGCTTTATCCAAGGTATACTAGGCATGCAGTGATTGGCTACTACGTACTATAATGTCATTGGTTGAAAATGATTGATGCATGAAATTACACATTGAAAAATACCATCAAATGAAGATCAGCAGATGACTTAACTCTAAATTAATTTTGTGCAATGAGGAAATTGAATATGATCGTTGCAACCGATAACTTTTCACAAAGTCAGTGAGGTGGTTAAGTCAGTGAGGTGGATAGATTCAGGTCTAAAGAAAACCTTAATGAACGCACCTTAAATTTTCAGATCTTTTCAGAATGCGTCCTATTCACTGTTTCTTTTATTTATATCAGGTCATAATTTCTAATATTGAACAAACGTTCTGTTGTTCTCTAGTATGAAAACACTAGTTTTTTGCCAAGGTATATAAGGAGAGAGATGATCTACAGTTAAACTAGCTAGTGCCAGTGAGCTGCATCGGTGTTTCTAATAGTCTTCTAAAGTAGTCAAATGATAGATCGTAAATGTCGTAAATGGACAGAAATCGGATAATGATCCTCACCGAAGTATTCCTCTTTTTCAAGTAATAAAATATAAAACGTGATTCAGTTTATTGGCTCGAAGGCTTCACCGTCCATATAACCGCCTCGATCATCCAAAAATACGCTCATCGATGTTATATCAATTCCCTTGAGGAAACTAGAACAATGCAAACGCGTTTTGGCACACTGGATTCGATCACATGATCAAATATTCTCATGTGTCTGTTGGAGAAGAGATAGAACTTTGCATTTAACTCGGCACATCTCCTATCTTTGCGACGGCCTTTATAATAGATAGCTTTGTATGAGTATGAATAGCTTAACGAGTTACGGGACCGGGGTGAACACCCTAAACACGACCTTATGTATCTCCATTCACCTATTTTAAGCCACCTATTTTAAGGATGGGGTGGATTTTCCATTAGTCATTAGTCAATTCCATTAGTAAAATACGATGCATTTTACGCCGACAATGTATTCTTGTGTACATCTTATTTCATCTATTTATTTTTCAACCTTTTTTTCCGTTTGTTTATGTGAATGTGTTTTTCATTTCTTTGCTGCTTTCCTTTTTCACCACTTTTCATACCTGCGGGCTCTCTTACTTTCACTATTGCGGGATATTCGTGACTAGTTGTCTTAGAAAATGCATATTTGACACAATGCCATTGGCTCTTAGATGAGCAGCATTGTGAACTCATGAATATTTATTACATAGCTCGCGAACCTTCGTGGTTCAATGTTACAGACTAACAAACAGGATTGAGTTGATTGATGCTCTGACTATTTTTTCATGGAGCGCGGTCGCGAGAGAGCACGCCTCTTTGCATGAGACTGATAGTTCGGTCAAGACTACAGATTCATCACCATAGAATGTAAGTCATATTTTACACCGATGAATTCTATGAAAATATTAGTACAGAGATAAATGTTCAGAAAAAAAAAATGTAAAAACTTTTAGAACAGTGCAACCTTTTTATATTTCAAAGTCAAAGAGAAAAATGTGATCATAATCGTTATGCGTTTTGCATGTATGCTATACATATATTCTCTTCAGGACACACAGTAAACCAAGCCAGGCGATCGAGCACATATACTCTGCATGTCACCAACACCAATTGCTACAATTGTTTTTTTATTGTTTTCAAGTTGCTGTTTCGCTTTTATAATAATTTGAACACGTTTCAAAACATTTCGCCGACTGAAAAATCAAGACTTTCAAACATGCTAAAAGTGACATCTTGAAGGTTAATATAACACGTTTGAAGTACAGGAAGTTGTTAGTTAAAAACAGGAAAGTACTCCACTGTGAGAAAGATATTTTTTGGAGACGGAGACTGGGTTGCACGAGATTTGGAGAGAGTTAAATCGTGTCTAACACTTTGGATTCCTAATTTTGCTTTGGTTCACTCTGGAATTGAACGAGAATAACTTGAGCTGTAGAACGCAGTGGTCTTTTAAACCAGGTAAACTCAATTGGTAGTATTTTACGTCAAGTTGCACCGGAGCTCCTTCAAGGTGCTTAATTGTTGCTAACGGCTATTTGTAAAACGGTTTATTAAATCATTTTCTACCGACATCGAATTTATCAGTGGTATTATCATTCGGTGTTCAAAAGTAAACATTGGAGTCTTCTTCCTTGTTTCGCTGAAAAAAAAAACAACATATTTTGTTTTTCAGACAATATTTAGATAATGTCATTATTCACGGTGCTTTAGAATATTTACTAATGATAGCGTTATAATGTTTATAATTTTTCTTAACTATAAGTAATTTGAAAAATAACTAAACATTTTGCTCCAGACTTCCGTTTAAGCTTATATCATTTTCGCGTTTGTGATTGTTTGGTTAGTCCTCATTACGAGAAATATTGACATGAATTGATTTTTGACGGTATGCTCGAAATATCGTTTTTGGAATTAACTAGTATCAAAAATCTTCATCAATAATCTTTATCAATCTAGTATATTATTTACATATAAATACTTATCTATTGGATAAAAACAATTAATCAAGTATCAATTCAGTCGATTACTAACATATATCACTTTTAACCCATATTGACATTAGAGGTTTTTTTTATTTAGAATCATAGCGGAGTAAATTCAGCTGATTTTGTAGCGTGCATTTGTGTAAATAATGTGAAAACCATGACGTCTGATATGATAAAAACTGAAACCAGACAAGTTGAACAGCTGGCCACATTGCATTTGATTGGCTCAGCCGTTCAAAAAATCACTAATTAAATGCCATATTTAAGTTAATTATGAACAAAACAAAGTCTTTTTAGATGCAGCTTATGCCTTCGTTAGGTTTCCACTTTGAGGCTAACGAAAGCATTCATTTGTTTAATTCAAGTGCCATTTCCCTATAAAATGGTCGTAAAAGTTAATGTGCATTCAAAGCAATAGTCAGCAGTCTGTCTGGTTGTCAATAAGTACATAACATGTATTTTTTAAGAAAATTCCCTCTGTTCTTCCAACACGTAATGGCGACCATTCGTCTAGGATACAAAATGTATGATGAAAAATGCAATGACATCAATGACATTGTTGAACATTGCACTTGCAGTAGACCTAGTGTAGGACCTTATCTGTGGATGTCATTTAATGAATAGTAGATCGACTTTTCTGTGTTTATATTGTTTAATTTGTACTGTTTTGTACTAATTACTGTAGTGAATCACAGCTGTGTTTCGAGAGTGCTACTTCAGTGCTTCAAGGATTTATTGACCGCACTTGAGGAAAAAAGCAGATTATTTAAGCCAGGTTTTCTCTAGAGACGCAACCACTAAAGCGAAGTCGACACAAGCGCAAAAAAAAAAAGACGAAAAAGTTATTCGGAGTGAAAACGAGACTTAAATCAGTCTAGCAACTGGATTGTGATGCTTTGATCTCACCTGCCATGTATTTTATTTTTATCTCGCCTTTTGACACTTGCGGACATTGTGTTTTCTTTCGTTCAAGGAAAAAGCGCAAAAGGAAGCGCTTGCAATTGCGCGTATAGTTCGTCTTTTACTACGTAAATACGTTTGTTCTGCTCTTAGTCTTGCGTCTCTTGCAGAAATCAGGCTTAAGCACAGGGCAATCAAACAAACCGAATTCACACGTATGATAGCTCAACAACAAAAAAAGCAGTGGCATTAGAGTCTACCAGCAGTTGTCAAACTAACACTCTATTAATCTGTATGCAACGAATTAACAAAACGTTGTCTGGTAAAAAGTGTTTACATCAGATCAACCAAGATACGACCGAAATGGAAGATGGGAATACAAATGATTTACCTTTGTCTGGTTGTCGCTCTGTCTAGCTGATGGTGTATATGACAGTGTTTCCTGTCGACTCTCGATTATTGTCTGCACTGGCCAAACATGGTCTTTTTAACGAGGAATGCCTAATTTTTGTGGAAAAAAACAATTCGTATTTCGTAGTATCCAGAAACCTCTTCGGTCTGATCTTAGCTTTGATGGTGCCATCTTGTTGAGCCCAACAGCATTTTTTGATAGGTGTACATTAATCCGCAAGTCCCTCGTGTTGAAATAAGTAGAATAAGAACACGGTTGACCGCTTTAGCTTAGTTTATTAACCTTCAACTTTTTTAACACTTGCACTTGAGAATGAACTGAGGCGAATTATAATTTTGATCAACAAGATGATGCAATATCCGGGCTTTGATATTGCCCTTTATCAATAATAGCTAGTTTCGAGTGCTTTCATTGTATTGTAACTCTTAACGAATTCACTAGCAAAAACCTTGGTTGACTGCTCTTTTAATTGGCCTGTATGTGGCTTCTTCAGAAAATTATTGGATCCATCGAAAGTAGTAAATGGGAACTAAGTCATGTATGATAGGCTAGTAATATATCCATTGCGCATGCTCTTAGATGATCTTTGTGTAACCTATCCCACATGCCTCAGTGCTCATTTAGTGCACTGTGCTCAAATCAAAGACGAAATAAAAAAAACGACTGGAAAGTGCAAATGAATGGATGATTGAACACCGTGAAGGAGCCTGGGAAGAAACGGGAAACGAACGAGTGTTTAACTGAATATTAATGAATGAGGCCTAAGGACATGTTCACTGATACTTTGTTCACATTCTGCTAAAGTTGTTTTTAACCACTGAAGAGTGACAACATTCCGTCAGCTCACTTTGGCGTGCAATCACGCAAATAGTGGACGAGTTGAATTTGACAGCTTTGGATAAAAACACCAGCCTGGTAATATGTACCGAAATACATGGAAATAGGTCAACATGGATTTTGGTAAATTCCACTAACGTAAGTTAAACACATTGAAAGGGGTTTTAGCCGAGAATGTTCCGCTGAACGCGTTAAAATGCAAGACTATCTTTCACAGCAGTAAACAAGTTTTGTCTGTCGTCAACTCAAAACAACCGATTGTGATGCAAAATTTGAACATTGTGACTGCAATCAGAATGTGAAATGACACTTGCTAATCAAATAGGTGCTTTGAAACACCAGCACCACTGTTTTCTAACTAAAACACGCTAACACATAGTAGTTTTCACAATAATAAGGGTGACGATCTAAACTTTTGCTGTGGACATTTGATTGATTTCCATCAGACTGTGAAATTAAGTCAGTTGCTAGTGTGTAAGAATATATCGGGAATTTAGATCTACTAATCGATAATGTTGGCCTATAAACTATTTCCGGCAGAGCTCGGTAAAAACTAGTCATAAAACGTCATCTTATGCAAATACTAAGACGATGAAAAACTTTCGTAGTGGAAGCTATAAATTGTATTGAACATTCCGAATTTCTTTGTTTTCTGTTGTCTAACGCTACACTGCACTGCGTTATTCAGCACTGTTTTGTTAAAGTGAAGTAGATATACCTGCACTAACGAAACAATAGAGTAGATGAATGGAGGCTATTATGCTGCGATAGTTGCCCTGGGAAACTGGATGTTCCGAAAAACAAATAGTCGCCTAAGAACACACTTTGAGGGCAACTATAAAGTTTTGAGGAACATCCAGTTTCCAAGGGCAACGATCACAGTAAACTTCCGGAGATTTTAACTGCTCTATATGGTTTTTTATGATTCAACAACAAAATTTTCTGAAATGGCGGGCTATTTGTGCACCGACGGTAACCCTCCGGGGCAGGCACAGTCGCGTCACGTGGTGACTGTCTGCCAATAAGAGCGGAGAAAAATTTGAAATCGAATGATACGTTAGTAGGCTTTAATTGAGTTGTATTCAGTCATGTCTATTCTACTCTCACACTTTAATAGTGAAATTTTGTTTAAACGGGTTTAACGACTTCATTCTAGTACTAGTTTCACGCTTTAAGTGTTGGGCCTCTAGTAACAATGAGCTAGGGTCATTGCATTTAACCTGCGAAACACTCAATAAATGCCTACCACGTAATACGTTAAAATAATAAGCAATCAGAATACTCGGTCTACCTGCTAGGTGAGAACGGACACAAAATGGCTGCTAAATTATGCTAATTCCTGTATTTTTCATCGTCTTTTCCATAAACGTTTAGTGGTAATTAGTAAAAATGTTTCACGGGTTTTCTGCGACCGCTCTGAATATCAGGAGATTCGCAATTTTTTCTGATTCGAAGAACTGGAAGAACTCATGAATATATATAATCTGTTTCAAATACAATATTCTTAACTTAGCCAAGACTTGTCAGACCGTTTTCATAGAAAATGTCTGAAACCGCTGTTTTCGCGCGTCACATATCACATGTATGCTATAATAATAAAAGAAGCGAAATTACTTTACGATTGCATCAGATTACGATCAATCAAACTAAACAATGATAGAAAAATCTGAAAAAATGATCATTTAACGTTTTTTAATGATTTTAATTAAAACACCTGTACGGTGCAAAAAAAAAAAAGGTTTTGATTAAACTTTTTAAACTATACCAGATTATCCGCTGTCTCTTTCCCAGAAGAACTTGACCAAGTTAAGGAAAAAGCAGTTGTGTTCATTGCTGGTGCGATATCCTTACAGACAACTGCTCTTGCCCTCAACCTAATGTCTACCCACTCTACAAAGTCATCATCAATGAATGCCAACCTTGTGCCATGAACTTAAATACGACTTGTGTTCCCATTGTCATTGGCTGCGCATTCCGGTCATGTATTTGACGTAGAGCATTTTCATTGGGTAACGTGTTTACTTAAGAGTCAAAATTACAGGTAAGAAACAAGGGGATTACTTTTGATGACCAGTCGACCATGTATCACACAAACACGATGATTTTATAAGCTAGTTCTTTTTAAATAAATAGAATCTAAGGAATTAGAGAGACTTAGACCTGTGGACCCTGAGGCATTGATGTTTCTAGAGGATTTATTTTAAGTTAAAAAGGAGATGTTTTCTGGTGAAGTGACGTAAGATTAGTGATTGCAATGGTATCGTGAATCTGCTTGAAGAGGTAAAACAACAATAATAATATCATAACTGCGTAATATTGAATATTGCATCAACACTTTTAATATAAAGAGGTAATTTTCCTTGAAAGAGGCAGCAGTTTAATCGAATTACTATAGAAAACGACTTTTCAGCAAATTAAAAAGAATTGACAAAAAATAGCTTTACATTAATTTACTTTTTATTCAAACTTTATAGTGAAAAAAAGTTCTTGATTTAAATATTCAATTTGAACAGACGTATTCAATTCATTGTATGTGAGTATTTTTTAATGGCTGCCTTTTGTGTTAATTTGAGCGTGGGTTTTAAGTAATGGTCCGAGTAAGAAGCAGGCAAGCAAACGGCAATGGAATGCATGAAGGTGCTAATTTTGTATTGTATAATCCATCCATCTCATTGGTTAAAACATTAAAATCGGACATAATTTCAAAAGTAAGCGCATTTTTTAATATTTTATTCAATATCTGATTCTAACTTCATAAAAGCTTTCCTTAGCTTTAATATTAATAGCAATTCTATGTGGGGAACATAGCAAATTAGAAGCATCTTTTGGCTATTGTTTTGAGTGCTTATGATTGGACAAGATCTTTTAATACAAAAGAAACTTTGTTTCAAAACAGAGTTTATCCACATTTTATTTTAAAAATGTGYTAYSCRYAGGTTGATATATAATCAGTGTGAAAACCAAGACATTCGTACATGGGGAACTTGCTATGCCGCAGAACAATAGAGAGCTCCCTAGTTCTTTAGCGCATTGTTACTTAATATCCAAGGGGGCAGGTTTCAAAGTATTCATTTTTGAGACAATACCTAACGATATTAGTTATTAACACTGATTTTGTGCCACTGCAATTTTTACACCGTTTTTATTCAGGAATACCGCAGCTTGTATAACGTCATAAAAACTACATATAGAGTACTCCTTGATTATTCTCAGAAAGAAAATGCTCAATGATAATAATTGTAACTTCTTTTACAGTACTTAAAACAGAATTTTCTCCATTTAATGAACTGAGAAATTTGTTTAAGTGTTAACTGAAATTCCGGTCCGTGATATCTCATGTAAAGCAGCGCTTTTAAAAAAGTATACACCCGATTTCTTGTCGTTTCTAAGATTTTCCTTAGGATAATTTTTTGTATGCAACACGATTTGCAAAGGTACAATCCCAGTCGATGGTTTTAAAATCAGTTCTCAAGAGCCATCTTGAAAGGTAGCCGTGTTTTCTCGACGAACCGAAACAGCATTTTAACTTGCAGATAGCACATTATCACAGGTAGGGTTACTTTTCAAGATGGCGGGGAGCTTTATAACGTAGCATCAATTAAAATAGGGATCAACACAAGCCGATTACTTTTTTGTAACATTTCAAAACTCAAAATATATTCAAGAAAGCAGCAGATGAGAGAAAAGGCTGACATATTTTCATGCAATAAAAATGGCGATCGTGATGCCATCCTAACGCAAGTCAAGCATGCGTGGAGGTTGATTTCTATAGCTATCCTTGGGTGTTTGTCAACATCATTAATTACGAACTAAGTTTATTCAAGGTCTCTCTGTATGATACAGATATGCCGTGGGAAATATACAATAGTCAGTGGAGTGCTAACCATACAAACGTGAAACAACTCAGTGCTACCTTTTAGCGCTGCTCGTTTTACACAATTTTTTTTATCAATTACAAACTTACTGAAACATAAACAACACAAACGAATGATCACAAGGGTATATGGGATCGTTTTCTATTATCTATTATTGTTTGCACTGTTCTGCTTCGATGATATAAATTAGTTACGTTGTGTCAGATGGTCCAAATAGTTTAATTTCACTAAAAAATGATTCCTGATCCCACAATCATGATCCTAATTCATATATTTTTTTGTATATTGTAATCACTTTTCTGTGATCCCAATGATACCGACTCCAGGCAGCAGTGATCTATCTGATCCCTTGTCATAATTTTACTAAAATCGTAACATTCTCATGTTAAGAAACCTTTATCAAATTACTTCATTTTTTTAAACTGATATCCAGTAGTGAAGGTTTTGCACTTCAGTGATCTGGTAATAATCAACGTCTGATGAGCTCAATAGGAATTCTATAGCAATAAAAATAAATGACTCATCAAAAACATTTTAACGCATGGGAAATATCAGTCACCATTAGAATGAAGACCAGTGGAGTAAATGTTGAATTGATGGCAATTATTCTATGGTTTTTCATTCCTGCGAACTGAACCGATGCTCGATCGCCGGCTTTGAACAGTATCTAAGCAGAACAACCAAGGCTCAACACGTCATCATTTTGATTAAGCACACCAGACGAAATGCATGATTTCCCATAAATCTTATTTATGTGCGTTTTTTTCCGTGTCATTTCAGTTATGTAAAGAGTGGTGATGGAGATTCAGTATACCTACGTGGAACCCAAAACTATGATTGTTCGGTCTCCGAATTTTCAGGATCACAGTTTCGATAAAGTCAACAACTGGCCACCAACTGGACACAGAGTGGTGAACTGTAAGTATTGGATAGTGTTGATTAAATCTTGTGTTGTTTTTGTAATCTTAGACGGACTCTTAATAATGTTATGATCATAAGATTATCTCGATACTTATCTTATAAAAGAATCATTAAAGCTGAGGCTGGAAGGAGGGAGGGAGGGAGGGAAAGAAAAGGCTGACAGTAGAAACTGAATCAATCTGTGACAACTGCATGTAAGAATTGCGTCAGTGAATCTTGTTAGAAGCTGAAATTGCCGATGTGGACTTATTCGGTAGACAATGATTCGTAATTGTTCCGTGATTTTGAATCTGACAACGTTTGATATCCAATCGAACGGAGTATAACGATACAATTGATATAAAGTGCGCCAGACAACTTTAAGTAGCAAGACTTGATCGAACGGTCGTTTTCGACCCGTAAAGATCAACACGTAATGAAATTTATGATAGACAATATGTTCAACTTATAAATTGTATGAAAAGTCGAAAATTTCTTAAAGAAACGAATATTAATGAAAAATTGCATCGAGCTCTGAAATTCTAGATCACGTGCCTTTGATTTAAGATTTAATACAGAGTATAACAACCTTTGCACATCCCTATATGGTGTTAGCTTGCGTGCAGCCGAACCAGAACTGTTGTTGACAACAGAAAAGTGACTTTTTCCTTAAAGGCAAACTTTAAAACAATTTTTTCACAGAATTAAATTTGTGAGCGAAAATGTTTGAAATCATTGAAAACGTATACAACTGCAAACACACATTTTTTGTTTGTAAGCATCTAGTAGCAGACAGCCACTTAGAAAATCCGTCATACGTGATATACTTAGTAAAAAAATTAAAGCCTTGAAGCGGTAGATATTGCGCTCTTTTCAGTGATGTATGGCTAATATAAATACGCTTCTTTTGACCGCTTCAGACGTCAAAACATATCTGTGTCGATCAGTTCATTGCCAAGAGAGTCTTTCTTTCTATTCCTCTACTGATGATTCCTCTTCCTTTTTAGATTCACCATCCTTACCTGAACCAAATAGATGGACGAGATCATCGACAGGAGGATTAGCTGGAATAAATTCTCCCTTCTCGGAAACTTTGAGTAAATACTCTGTATACCCCCAAGAGATCGCATCTAGAAATATTGCACTTAAAGATGAGACTCCTAAAAAGACGACGAACTTTCACCAAACTGTCAAGGGTAGGCCAACAATATTTCCAGGACAACCAAAGGCCATAATTAAACGCGGCTACTACAAGGAGTTCGTGGCTGCAAGTTTATTCAGGAAAAGCATACCTGAAGAAATGCATAGGGCTCAGCCAGAGCATACAAAGAACGCTGATGCAGACAGCCACAGAAGAATGACAAACGGCTATTGTCATACTGCTCAAGAAGAAAAACCAGTTCAAAAAAGAAGCAGAAGTCTAAGAGCATGTGAAGACGACAGCAGGCCAGTCTCAGCATTTTCCATTGTCAAACGAAAGGGAAATAATTTACACAGCTCAATACAAGAGCGTTTAAAGGCCCTCCCTCCACCTCCTCCGTTAGTCAAAGTTGTCAAACGGAGTCAGCATGAGATGCGGAGAACGCCAAATCCAAAGGATGGTCGGTTCAATTCGAAGCCTCATCGTATCCCTGAGGTTTCCCAAACTAAAACAAGACAACAGGGCAGCGAAAGGATACCGAGACCCTGGAGTTCTGAACCACTACGTCATGCTTTCCGGGAGTATTCGACTCCAGGAGAAGCAAACGTTATTCGAAGAGACCGCAGAAGTGAGCCAGCTCAAAACAGAAAGATCCAAGATATGCCAGAACGTGAGGGTCTCCACCAAAGAAAAATAATTGTGCCAATTAATTCACAAAGGTCAACTGTTCTAATACCTTGTAACTCAGGCTCACAAGAGAAAAGTGGACGCTGCCCCGTCCATTCAGACGCAAACATTTCTGCAAGAGAAATACATAGATATTCAAAAAACAATCGAAAGGCTGAAGGCTATGCGGAATCTTTAGAAAACAAAAGCCCAACAAGACAACAAAATATTCGTCCTACCCAAGGATCAATAGACACATCGGAAAAACAGCACAAGATTGGCTGGGGCATTCAGGGCACACCATTAACAGAGGAACGGCGGGCTACACCATGGCCAGAAGAAACCCACAGCATCACGAGATCACCGGTTGACATTCACAAAACTACATCGACGTCTCAAGAAAGTCGGTTCACGTTAGTGTCTAATGAAGTACTTAGCAAACCTTCAATTCAAAACCAAATGTCTAAAAAGCTAAAGAGCCAACATACGGCTCACAATGATGTGATTGTTATCAGAGATTCCCCTCCGCCTTCTAAATGGCATGACAGAACATCACAATGGTGTCCAAATTCAAGGACTGCTTGGCGGTCGTATTCGTTTGAGTCTAATAAGACCTTTTGTCAGCATGGCTTAAACAATTTACAGAACCAAGAAGAAATGAGCAAAGAAAAACCTGCGGATAAACGACTATGGAAAAAGTGTCGTTGTCAATGCGCCATTTGCCGTGAGATGTCTGAAAAATTGCAAACTGAACAGTTACCATCGCCAAAATCACGGACATCTTCGTCATCCTGCTTATCGGCACCGTCCATTCTGAAGGCACCGTGCTCCACTCCATGTAATACTGTTATGGCAGCTCCTGAATACTGCAACAAGAAACTTCACCGGTCGTATTCCACTCATGACATCTATTCTGTGCGATCATATCAATGCAATGACAATCCATTTGAACGGTGTTTTACATTAGTAAATAATCATCAATTCAAGGATCCATCACAAGATACTGGAAAAACTCAAACAGGCTGTATGCCTGAAGCACAGCTACCAGAAACCCTCACGCATAAGCAAAGTGAAGTGAACTCATTCTTAGGACCAATTCGGCCAGAAATGCCCTCACCGAACAGAGAAAAAGAACCTCAGCATGACAAAAACAAAAACGAAATCTTTCCTCTTAAAACACCTCAGAGACGAGCAACAACATCACAGGAACGGCAAATACTAGTTGATAAAACACAAGAAAAAACCTTAAAGAGAGCGTTCAGTGAAGGTGATGCAAGTACCGACAAGGAATTGTGTGACGAAACGCTTCTAAAATTGCCAGTCGACGAAGAAAAAGATAAGTCCAATTCATACGGTGGATTTGCCTATGACCACGAATCACTACCCATTATCGTCGCAGTTCATTCCATAGGTGCTGAAAATCATCAATCAGCAAATGATGCTATAGTTGACAAAAAAAGACCTATCAACATTGTCGAAAAAACAAGCTCGGACGTTCAGTTGCAAACTAACTTGGAGGTACCAAAGCAATGCATAGTGCTACCGCAAACACAAAAGGTAGAACCAGTTTCAACCTCTCCATCTACAACACGTACGAGTGCCCCAACTTCTAATGTTGAAACAAAAGACGCAGTCATTCAGGTATGATTGATAAAATTGGAAGTTCTTATATATTTGTGTATGAGTTCGAGACCCACACTTTGGAGGAGAAAACGTTAAGAAAACGATTCGATTATTGTGCCATAAGCAATACCATAAAAACCAGCATCATTCAATTTATATTTACAAAAATCTTTAATATTCGTTTAATCAGTTTGATATTCAAACAGGAGACTTCAAAACAACATGAAGGGTCATTAACTGATTTGAAATCAACAAAAATGGCGTTGGAAACTTCAGAGCCAGTCTCAAACCAAATCCATTTCTCCACCAATAATCTTCCAAAGAACCAAACATTGACAAATGGTTTTGTAAAAGCGAACAATAAGGCCGAGGGTCAGACCAAGAATAACATCCAGTGCGTAAAACCCCAGAGGAAGGAAGTTTCTGTGGAAAGTTTGTCGAAAAAAATACTTGAAACGAGGCAAAGAATAGAGGACGAGAACATTGACTGGAAGAAAAAGCTTCTTGGTAGGTTAGAATACGTGCTTACCAAAAGATTGCGAAAGATGGAACGCCTGACTGGGGTTAAATCTACACTTGAATTCCCAACAGAGAAGGAAAAGCCAAAAACTTTAAGCAAAACGTTGACAACAGAAAAAACTCAAGAAGAAAAAACCGTTGCTGTAAAGGACGTTGTGAAAAAAGATCGAAAGAATACTAAACAAATTCTCAAGAGAAAGAAATATAAGCTGAAAAAATTAACGGTTACCTCAAAGGGTGACGATCCATCGAGTGATTACGAACTAACAATTGAGGAGACACAGGAATCCCAAGAAACAAACTCTGAAGTAATTGATTTCTTGATAAACTGAAAGCTGGTAATTCCATGCAGCCATTGTACATATTAATTTCACCCAGCCTAGTTCCCAGGCTTTCCTGTTCCCAGTTAATTGATGTGACGTTTCAGAGAGCGACTCAAAATGTTACTCACCCGAAGACCATCTCGTGGTCATAAAAGAAAAAGCCTGTGTTCTAGGCTGATTTAAGCTTAAAATGTTTCTACATTGTTCACTTTTCTTATTATAAATCGTATAAAATTCTATATACGAAAGCCGGTGTAAAACAAGTTATTCAATTTTGTATTTAACGCGGCTTTTTTGTATGAATTTGCTATATATGTCAATAGCCAACTTGCCAAAAAAATTCACTTCGGCAGTAAAACACAAAGGAATCAATACGAGGCTCCGTACATGATTCTCGTTCATTCGTGAAAAGACTATATGATCACTTTTGTGCTTGACTACTGAGGCGAAATTCCCAAGTCATACTAGTCTACGTAACATCCCGAATACTAATTTAGAGCGCATGGTCAAAAACGATGTCGGCAGTGAAGTTGCAGGCTCACTTGACTAGCCGCAGTGTTTTGTCCAAATTCAAATTTTTCCATACTTATTGATAGTTTTGCAATGTATTCAAGTGTAGATAAAGCATAAAATACAATTATTACGAAAATATATTTATAAAATAACAATCATTTGATTAGCGTTGCGCACGCATAATGTTCTGTTACGTGACAGTGTCTTCAGTGACTTATTGTCACGCCTGCCATACGTGACATTGCTGCGTGAGTAACGATCGATAAGCTTCTTACACTTTGATTACATATGTAGAAAATTTCATAATATTTATGATGCAGTCACTGAACATTTGTCGACATCAAGCCATTTATTCAAAACTCAGTGACTATATTGCGTGACATGTACGCCAAATAAGGATTTGTAGATAATACACCGATTGTGCAGAAATAGGTTCAATTTTCTCATAAAATACTAAAAAATGCAGGCCAATTTGAATAAGGCTTTTTTAAGAAGAGAAAAATGCAACACATAAATTGATAATTAATTAGAAGACAAAAGAAAGTCTGAGCCAATATTGTCTTTTGATTAATTTTTATTTTTTATTTATTAAACGGAAAACGTTTTGGCATTTAGGCATTTATATTGATATTTAGATGATAAAAAAGCACTGAATGTGATTCATCAATTTGTACTAAATATTTGACCAATAAAACGAATAACTAGTAGTTTCCTGTGACATGTTAATTTGATATGATCACGTGATCCGAAGTTCAAAATTCGGGAAGGGTCACGTGATATGAGAAATGGATTGCGGTGTGTGATGAATGGTATGTAGGGCCCAGGTAATTAACCTACAATTACTTTGATAAAAACAGTATTATCCCTAACGTAACCATTGCTTTGCAGTCGCGAGTGCGCGCAAAATTTAGGGCACCCTGACGCTATGTTCATTTGTGACTTTGGCTTTTGGAAGCTGCTGCTGTTTGGATCAGGTAAGAACGTCTCGGTCACGTCTAAATTTTGACTCTGGTCCAATAATCTTAGTGTTATTCTTCTTGTAAACGGCCAGGGCAAAACCGCGTCGTATTCACCTCTCATTACGGAAATAAAGAGCGACATATGCGTTCCTTTGCCTGTCCCATCCCCATTTAGATAAATCCTTGCACAGAGTTTATACCCAAAGCGACTGGTGTAAAATGGCGGGCTATATAGAGATGGAGTTTTGTTACTCACTGCCTCGGTGAACTGCTGGCTGTAGTTTTCAATTTTCCAGAGAAATGTTCCGTCATAACTGGATGCGTTTAGGATTTGAAGACGTTGACTGTGTTCCGCAAGGTGTATCTCATGAACGGTCAGCATTTGTTCTATCTGGTCAAATCTAGGGTTTTTTCTGTCTGAGGGATAACTGGTCATACTTCGGAACAGGACGTCTTCTTGTAGACTTTTCAGCTTTTGAGAAAAACTTTCAATCTTTTTCTCAAACTCAAGAATGTTTTTATTGATACTTTGCGTTTCACGTGAATTTTCTTTACAAAGTTGCCGTTTAGGCATCTCGTCCAGAATTTTCTGTTGATCTTGTACAAATTGTTCAACTTTATTCAGTTTTACTTGCTGTGTGGAGAGTGTCTCGTTGGCAGTCAACAGGGTTTCCTTCTGACTAGTAATGTAACTCTCAAGTAATCGATTCGTTTCTTGTAGTCCTAATGTTTTCCTTTCCAACTCCTGCAACTTGCAGTAGGACTTTTCGGCAGATTCTACTGCAAGTATTAAATGTTTTTGTTGTGCGTCTTTCATGTGTTCTTCCAGCTGTTCTCTTGTGTTGTTAAAATCGCATCCAAAATGATGAAACCTGCAGTACTTGCGTTCCAAGGGGCATTCCATATGTTTGTGTTCCTCCATTCTCTCTCTTGGAATGTCTTTCTCTCCACATCTGTTTTCACATTCAAGAAGATATTTTTTGCACTCATCAAAATGCTTTTCTAGAAAGATTTCAGGAACAAGTGAAGTGCAGTACAAACATTGAATTGGTCGGTATTTACACTCCTTTTCAACATGCCGCGGCAACTGACACCGGAGCACTAGCTCTTCACAGCCATCAACTATGCATGACACCTAAAAAAAATTAAGAAGTTCATAACAATATTAATGACAATGGAAATATCAAGGATAGGTAATCCTTTTGGAAGTCCCTTGTATGGGTGGGTCCAAGTTTTTTTGAGGTAGGGGTTACATCTCCCAAAATGGTATAAGTTACATACGGGCTGGGTAATCATATTACCATCTGCAGGTACACAGGTCTTCCATATTAGATTTTGAGAAATTTTCACATTCCCTACTAAAGGAGCCCTTGCCTTATAGTATGTCAATATGATTACAACAGGATACAGACAAAAATACTAGTAGGAAACAGAATTTCTTTCCTTTGTCTGGTACTGACACCTAAGGTCTCAAAAATTGAGGCCTATTGCGTGAGCAAAAACTGTTTGGTTTCTGTTTAAATGCGTTTTTGTTTTGGTAACATCTTTGTGTTCCCTGAAGATAACCGCTTAGGTCGAAAGCTTGGAATAAATTGTTAAAAGGCTAGGGCTTGTAGACTAAGAATTGAGGCATTGGGTGAACAACTCTGATTATCATATGTAAGCAATTCCTCAAATGGAGGACAAGCTGCAAAGTGTTAGCTCTGTTTATGTAAAAAAGGTATGCTACTGCAATTTAGTCATTTTATGCAATTCTCCATCCCCCTCCATCCTCCTTAACCAGTTAAGGAAGTCAAAGGTAACTGTACTTTTGCATCAAAGTGAGATGACAGGTGAGCTTGCTTTGATAGACAATAATTGTCTTCGTTGTGAAAGAAAATTTTAATCACTTTGATGCAAACATGCGGCTACCTTTCAAGTTGTCACATGGAATTGAGTGGGAGAATAATTTGCTAGAATGAATACAGTCAGGTGCATAGCATGGTGAAGTATACACAAGCACATATCAGGTTCTATAAACCTAAGTACTGAGGCAAAATCACTACTTCTTTTCTTTATTGTTTGAAATAATTGTTTGAATACAAACAAAGAATAAAGCCTCTGTCCTTGTCTTGAGCAAACATTGATCGAAGTGGTGTTTTCAATGTTAAAAAGAGGTTTTTCACAGGTAAAATGTTATAAAAAAAAGTTGGAAATGTTCAAAATTATCTGAAAACTTCAGATGTGAACTTCATGTGTGTATATGTGTATAGGAAGCTACACGCCTGACAATTCTGATTCACTAAACAAACCTTTTCATAGGGACACTCGTGTTCTTTCAGTGTTTCAACAGTTCCTGTCCAACTACAGCCAGAAGATTTTTGAGGGCAGTAACACTCAAGTGCAGCAATCTCCCGGGCTGCGCCACGATCATTAAAAATCTGGTCAATTTGGATTTCCTCACTGTCATTTGGACAAACTGGCTTTGGACACTGCAGTATCCTGTCTACACAAGTTCTGCAAAACCTTATTAAATTAAAATGAAATAGAGTATTAAAAAATGATGAACAATATGTCATATAGGTATATGCATAATATTGACTAAAATCTTAGTTCATAAGGATTATGATTTTATTCAAAAAATAAAAAATCAATTTCTCCATTTAATCTGTATTATTTAGGGGTTTAGATACATTGTAAAAGTGCAGTCGTAATTATTTAAGGAACTATCTCTCTGCCACATCAATTATTTTTGTAGCTAAAAACACTGATTCTGTTATATCATCATTATAGTAAAGAAAATATGCATAGGAGCGATTCATATCTCACATTTTGAGACAAGATGAGATGAAAATTATAGATTATAGAAGTTGGTTAGTTAGTGTTACTAGGGAATTATGATAAGTTAAGATGTCATGTAAAATAAATACATTGGGATTACAGTGAATGACTCATTCCTTCATATATTTTGTAAGGTTTTGATCACAAACCCACGGATATTTACGAAAATAATTATGAAAGTACACATGTTCTTTTAATAAAACTTTTATATCAGCAAGGCGAGGTTTTAAGAATATGAAAGGAACGAGTATATACTCAGATATTCAAAATATTACCTGTGTCCGCATGATGACTGAACGGGATTTTTCAAAACATCACCACACGAAACACACTTGTACTTGTCTTCCACGGGATGGATGAATACTATATTGGAATATGAAGGCTCGAAAGCCATAATAACAGAAATAATATTGCTTGAATCAAAATGACGCTCGTTCAGTCACGGGGAACGGGGAATGCCCTGATAAGGTCATGTGACTTGATAAACCAATCAGAGCTCATCAGAGTTCATTATGTAAGGGGTTTCCCCTAATCCTGTGACATTACAAATTTTTATAGAAATTGAAGATGTTTTATTAAATATTCATTGTTTCCTTGCTTATTGTGTGCAAAAGAGATTTATACATGATTTGGTGCAGTTAAGAAAATCAAGAACTGGAATAATATTTCTCGTATCTTCCGGAAGTGACGTCATGTGGCTCACCGTCACCCGTCGGACGTGCCTTTACACAAAAAATTGTAAGCAAGGTTCCGGTGCGGAATCAGTCTGGATTATTTCAAAAACAATTACATGTCATGAAACAATAGTAGAAACGGTGTGAAATGGATTGTGGGGGATTCCCCATACGACACTAACAAGACTACTCCAGAAAAACTCGAAGTAGTCAGCCAGCGAGTTGAAAAGTCATTTACACGACATTATCTTGACTGTGGCACGTAAATCACAGAGCTATCCACGAGTTTGTACACAGAAAGCTCAGAAATAGACATTAAGTCTAAGGCCCGCTGGTCAGAAGGTAAAACGATATATAATATCGTGCTGTATTTCACGCATGGCGACATTTCGATATCGTCGTGTATTTACAGCTTTTGATTATTTTTTAACTTGTAGATTTAGTTGGACGTTGTTCACATAAAAAAATGTCTTCTAAATTCAGCAAGTTATTTCGGAAATGGTCATGTTTAGGTGGGAAAACACCAAGCCTTGAGGTAAGCAAAAAAACCCTTAGTACCTGTTAGTTTCGATTCCTTTTAGTGCTATTTTAACAGATTAAAATCCACTCTATCGCACATCAGAATGCTTTCTGAGCAATGGGTATAAAATCAAATTGTGTTTTTAAATAGAAATCCAAACAAAGGTTGGTAATATAGTGTAACCTTTGTATGATATAGGTAGAATATCATGAAAATTCCAATTATATTTCATAATGGAATTTTCTTATTAGGAAGAAATCCACTACTTCCACAAGGTAATTGCTAACTTACACAAGTGATGTATTAGTGTTTTTGACCCTCGGTATGAGACATCAGGGCTGCTTTCAATGAATAACCTTTCCAAAACCACGTCAGATAAGCACAACGCATTAAATATGCCGTGAAAAAAACCCAGACGACAGCGCTAATTTCATTTTATTTGTCTGTACTCAAAATACTCAAACATCTCGCCTGAAGTAATATGAGTTTGCATGCCCAACAAATTGAGGTTGGTTTCGACCGGAAATACATGGTAAGACCTATATATCCCTTGTGTCAACACGACTCTGTCATTGCGTTTTCAATTCTTTCGATAGCTTCCTTTTGCGATCATTATTCGGGTGAATTGGTCAGTATCGTTTGGGAAAAGATACAATGTTTGTTCCCTGGAACCAAAAGTTATTTTTGGAGCATTTTCCTAAAGGTAAATGATATTGTCGAACAGTTATCGGCATATCAGTCACAGCACTTGGAAAGATAATTCGATAGCTTGTGCTCTTTCTGCCGAGAATGAACAATCAGAGTTCCTTTTTGTGTCACCGACAAGTCACTACCTAGTAGTCACAGGCAATTAAACTTTTTGTCAGAAAATTCTCGTAAAATACTTGTGACTTTTAAGTATGCAAAAATGTGCAGTTTAAAGATCAAGACTTTCCGATAAGATGAATATTAGTGTTTTGAAATGTGGCATATATATGTCAAGTCTTGCATAATATATAATAAAGAATTCAAAGGATTACGATGAAATTGATAATCTTAAAATAGTAAAAAAATACATTCACTTGATAATGATTGATAGTGATGATGATGACATTTGTAATCACATAAAATTCTCTTCATAGGCTGTTATCATAGCAGCAGTAATAATTAAATTATTAAATAACATCAAAAGCAATCGTTGTTTTAAAATAATTCGAGACATTGTATTGCCTACAATTGAGTAAGATATTTATAACATACACTTCATATTTCATGACAATGTGATAACGATGATGATGACGATGATGATTTAATAGCAACACGTAGTACAAGTAGGAAGTGAATAGACCTGGACATACATTATAAACAGCACGTGCAAGACAGCCCAAAGGTATATTACAGGCTTCTGAGGTCAGATCGGTTAATGTAATCATTATCAGTCGTTAATCGAAATTCCTGATCACGTCATGGTAAAATCAATTCAGTTTTCACTTTTGTGTAAACAGCCTTATATATCATTCTATATAAAATGCCAATAAAATTTCGCTTTAGCTAAGAAGTTAGTTCCTAGAAGATAAACACTTTCGAGGTCGATTGTGTGTTGAAAAAGTTGAAACAGTAAACATTGCTATCGTTAAAAAAAACGAATCCAGAACGTGGATTTTGTCGACGAAATCTGTTGTTTCTACTTCCTTATCGATACTTGAGCAGTTTCGATGTTGACATACAAGGACTGGAGGACGTAAATAGATGGTCTGTACCGGAATGGGTGTAACGCAAATCAGCCGTAAAGTAAGGTTAAGAATAGTTAAACATTATTTTTAAAGCTACACAAAGATAGAAAAAGAACTAAATAAAATACATTTCAAAATGCGTGGGAGTTTGTTTTGATTACATATAAAAGAAGGAAAGAAATTGAAAGTAAAAAGGGAGAAAGGAGTAGAAGAGTGTAAAAAGTGATGTAACAAAAACTAGAAACTGAGGAAACAAAAAAGGGGCAATAAAAGAGGCGAAAGGAAGGGAATGGAAAAGTAAAAGTGAAATTCGAGGGAAAATTAATAACTGAAGAGGTACAGCAAATGAAAAATGACGAGAGGGAAGAAAATAATCGAAAATAATCGATTTTAGATGACCTATAAATGATACTTACACTTGTGTGCAAAGAGGGAGAAAAATAGCAAAACGAAATCCAAAAGAAGGTTAATCAAGAAACCGCAACATGACATTTTCCTTTCCATAGTTCGGGATAGTTGACATTTCATTTTCCTATATTCATTAAATCTAAAGATAAGTTAAAATCTTTTCTTTCCTGTCAGGTCAAAAAGCCTTATATTCTTCACTATCTTATACATCTTTAACAGCTGTACAGTAGCTGTAAAGAACATTTTTGAACAAATAGATTTTGGACGTTGAGTCTGCTAAATATCAACAATAAATATCACTAAACAAAGTGTACTAAGTAAATAAACAGTACTACCAAACACAATCCACAGAATAGCAAAAAAGAACCGGTAGCGGAAGGAGGCATTTAAGTGCCTTAGCATTTGCATGTCCCATGCTTTTTAAAAAATTCGACCATTCGTGGTTTTTTTCTCTGATGTATTTCTCTAAGACTGGTCTGGCAAGTAATAATGTATATTTATATTTCCTCGTATTGCGCCATTTAGCGCTAAAACAGATTTACACATTTTAGAGAGTGGAGACATAAAATCTGTTAAATAGATAGGCTAATATGTCTTGTCCATCATCAAGTTGATGTATTCTCGTAGACTATTAACATTGAGAAGTCCTGATTCGTTCAGTTCATAGGCAATCACCTCAAAAAGCGTCAGAACGCCTTTCACAGCGTATTGTTTTTAATCTTCAATTAAGAGAATTTAACCGAGCAAAATATAATCACTATTGAAGGACATTATATGCGGGAACTGTTTCGCGTGCAAAAATGAAAATATCAAAATGTCTGATAAACATTGGTACGACAAGTTGAAATGCCTTGATTAGTTTAATCTTGTACGTGAGTCCTTGGACATTTTAAATGGGGTTAGCGCCACACCTTATTGTTAAGTCACGTTTCGTTGTAATCGACACAGGTACCGTATAGTCGTGAAAAAATAAAAATGTCAAAAATGAAAGAAAAATGGGATGAAAATACTAAATAAGGACGAAACAGAGAACTGAATACCTGACCAATTAGTTTCAAATAGAGCAAATAACACACACTGGTCAAAATAATAATTATGATAATAAAAACTCAGCAAATGAGAATCTCTCTAATTACGTCAGAGTGTTGACTTCCTTCCGAATGTTTTTTGTTCACACACGACGAAAACGTTTAAAAAGCTGTATCCGCTTTGAAATGAGAGCAGGGTTTTTGGAGGCTGTCAATGCATCGGAATAACGCCTTTGTAACTTAGAAAGAGCAATGATTTTAACCAATTTAAGCCGACTTTGTCTCCTACCTTATTTGTCGTGAATTAAAGGGCAATAGTCCACCAGTATTCAATGCGGTCGTATTTTAGATTTTTCATATATGGAAAATTTAATCCGTTAGTTTTTAAGGTTGAATCTTACAAAATCGCTCAATTCATAAATGGTTTGAGAAAAGGGAGTACGTTTTGCTTATATTACGATGTATTTTTATTTTCAACATAAGCACGAGCTCGAAGGGGATGGTACCATGGTTTCAAGCTATCACAATTCCTACCAGACACCTTAAGAACTAAACACCTATATGATAGAAGCATTTCGCTTTCTTGAAATCTGAGGCTTATTTATATGCAATGTACGTAACTTAGACCGTCTTCCTGTTTCTGTTTTGATAAATCACGTTTATTACATTTTTTCATTGAGATTTCATACTCCCCCCCCCCCCCACTCGTTAGTGAGTAGTTAAGAATATCAGTTCTATATACGCGCACTGCTGAAACCCTGCTGTACCATACAGGATCCTGAATTAAATGAAACAAAGGAAATTACCAGCTTTCATGACGACTTTAAAAAAATTTGTTTATTGTTACACCCCCACGTCTGGCAGAGTAAATCGAAATGTTCCTTCCTTCGCTTTCAGCAGGGCTATTTTTAATCGACATTAAAATGTATGTTCCTTTCAAATCACGCATAAAAGGACGTTTAGGAGACGAATTGTCAGTTTTTAAGAGTAGAGTTCAATCTGTGACAAGCGCGGTTTTAGAACAATCAGAGATGCATGAGAAAAGACTAAGTAAAGATGAGCTTGAAGATTTCACAGCGATATGGGTTAGTATGAGGACGAGAGATTACGCGCACTATTACATTAATTATGCATTGATACGATCTTTGCTTGTAACTCGTCAAGGATGATCTCATGCCATCAGTTCAAACACATTTTTAAGTAGATATGAGTATCGATGGATGGTTCAAAAAGACATGCGATTACGCAGCTGATCAAATCAAAAGTCAAGTTTCTTTACTTTTTTAAAAGACCGTTTTTACGCCAGTTTTAGGAAATACACTCGATACATAAGCACAATACTTTTTTTTACTTTTTTATGACTAATAAAAAATGTAAAACAAAAACTATTGTACTTATGTATCGAGTGTATTTATTGTGACAAAAATGGGTTATAAATGCGGTGAATTACTTTGGATTTGATGAGTAGTTGAAAATAAAATGTAACATACTTATGATTATATTAATGTGTCATAAATAATCTAAAAGATTTTTTTTAACGAATAGTGCTTGAAACGGGGATTCGAACCCATCACGCTAGCCATAATATTAGCCGGTGCGGCGTTCTACAAACTGACTCATAAAGACAGCATTATGTGTCAAGAGATATCGATGATGATAATAGCAATAGTAAATTCACGTGCCCGTTGTTTGAGTTCTCACTTTGTAGTTATCACGTGGAGAAGAATAGTTTGCTAGCTGGATAGAAACAAATAGCTTCACAGATAACACACTGCTTGGTTTTAATCCATCGCGGATTATTTCTTTCGTCATACAAAATGTGGTATTCATTTTAATCATATAATTCATGCATCATGCATTTTATTTTATTTTCGATAGTTGAGCGCAAAAGGAAATTATATGCACGTAGTGCTGAGGCAGAGTCGAGTGCAAATGCCGAATTTCACGTTTTCACATAAAGATTGACAAGCACGATTTCATCCAATATTGCATAATAATTGACGATTTGTGTTTCGATAAAAAAAGCTCTCTACCTTTTTATCATTATTAAAGACATATTTTATCACATGGAATATGCTTGAAGTTTCACGAGATAACAGATTTTTCCTGGTGACATGCTGATATCAGTTAGTGATGTCATCCAACATGCTCTATACTATATTTGATTTATCTGCACGGTAAGGAAATTGTTCTGTTTCAATTACAGAAAGATATGCCGAATAAAGTGTGTTTTGCACCATAATAAACAATTAGATGGTACAATATTTGAGTTAATCATCATCATCATCATCATCATCATCAACAGCAACAACCGCAGTGTGTTTGCTGCTAATTATTGTATGTTCTGTATGGTGACCATCCGTGCAATACTCGCCTCAGAACTCGTATATAACAAAGGCGCCTCGATAGCTGAGCTTTATGCACTGCGCCTCGTCGTGAATCCTGAGGTTTTCTCATAAATAACACTGATTGCATCTCTTCCGCGTAAAGAAAAGCTTAGCTTTATCATTTTTGTTGAGTTGTTCTTCTCGAGTCGCGCCAACAAAGGCACGCGTATAAGCAATTTATATTCGTAAAGCAAAAATTAATTACAACGAGTTATAGAAGAGTTTCTTGTCTTAATAAAAGCTTTAGTGAAGTTGATCTTGAATGCCACTGCATACTATACCAAATCTCAAAGGGTTTGCCTAAGGTTACCGCAACCCAAGGAAACTGAAAATATTGGTTAGGTGTGGTGTTTTAACCCAACGTTCCAATGATGCAAGATGTAAACAGAACATGTGTTACATATACACTTTTAGTCATAATAACGAAAATTAATATCGCATCGCATCCTAGACTAAACATATCACATTGCTAATATGTTCCACGTGGAACAAACAGAAATTAAATATTTCAAGCTACAGTGAATGGAAGCTTGTTAACGGTGTCCAAATTCGTCATGATGGGCAGAGTTGTACTTGATCTACATTTCATTTTCTGATGTTTATTTTCAGTCTTCTCCCCCAAAAAAAACATTATCCCAGGCAAATTTGAAAATTAATAAACTGGAAACTTCTTTAAATACAAACTATCGTTTTGAACATCAGATAATGCCTTTCTTACTTCTAGTGCTAGTAATTTGTATCCCATGCGTGACATCTTGCAGCATGTGCGTTCATCTGCTCTTTTTTGCAATGTTTTAAAGAATAATCTTGGCGTCATGAAAACATTAAAACAACAATGTCAAATAAGATATGCTTGATGATTTATACTACGTTGACATGTGAGTATATTGCGGTTTAATGAGAAAGAAAAGGCTTTTAGCTAAATACTTCCATATCAGAGATAAAATGGATGCACTCAACCTCCTCTTACCGCAAACTAAAGGAATTGTTTCATATCAGCAAATAACCCTGTGATGTTTCGATGAAATACTTGATCACGTGATCAATTTGTTCTTCGCGCGGGAAAAGTTAAAAAGGCAATTCTGGTAATTTATAAAAGCTCAATATATATACTATTTTTTCTTTTATTTTTTCTTTTATTAATTTATATTTTTCTTTTGTTCTTTTATCAGGATGAGGCTCAGAACAATCTACGACGGAACAAACCAACGATCGTTATAACAGAGTGTAAAAGCGTCGGCACTTCGCCGACTTTTTCCCACCGAAGCAGTAGTGCGTCGTCGGAAAGCAGCCAATCAGACGAAGAGGTCGAAGCAGAAATTTCTCTAAGAACCGACGAAGAAGAATATAAAATGGGAATGGGCATTCTCATCAGAACGAGAACCCTTGACGAGAAGGACGGTGGTGGCGACACAGAGAGCGTGACACTGATACGAGTGACGAACGTTGATGTTGGGTCATTTGCTCACGGATTTGGAGTCAAGTATGTGATGTCATGAATTGAATTATATTCGTGTGTTTCTTTGCTAGCTTGATAGTTGTGTTGTCCGTGGTCCAATAAATTAACTGTATGTAAGTGTGGCTCGATCACAGTAAATAATTGGAATGGCGTTATACGATACCCTACTAAGCTAAAGAGCAAGGGGACGTCCAGGGGATCCCTAGGGGACAAGGGGATGGGAGAGACAGTTGAGACACGGAGGTATATCATATACCAGGGACAAGGGGAGAACTAGGGGATGTCCAGGGGATCCCTAGGGGACAAGGGGATGGGAGAGACACTTGGGACACAGAGGTATATCATAGACCAGGGACAAGGGGACAACTAGGGGATGTCCAGGGGATCCCTAGGGGACAAGGGGACGGGAGAGAGAGACAACAATGTGTACAAAGAACCAATGCCTTATTGTGATTATTTCACAGGAAAGGAGATTTTATTACCAAAATCAACGGTCAGCAGTGTGGCAAAGATGATGTAGTCATCAAAGAAGCATTCTTGAGTTATAGCAGTGATCAACTCGAAATGGTAATGGATATCATAATCATCATCATCATAATAGGATAGTTGTCATGATCATTATATCATCGTTATTAGATTAGATACCCCCCTCCCTTACAGTAGACATCAATTTATCTGATCGATTAACATGTTTTATATTCTATAGGAAATTCTACGCAATTTTAAAAACCGTGATA